GTGCGATAGTTTGAGCATTCTTTGGCATTGCCCTTCTTTGGAATTGGAACGTAAACTGACCTTTTACACAAAGCATTTGAAAAAGGTTCTTTGCAGTGTGCAGCACAGGCTTTTGCAATCTCTTTGAAAGCTGTCCCTGCTTGTCTCTGGATGCTTGTGAAGCCATCAAGGAGAGGTGATTCTTTTATGCTTCTGAATGTTCTAAGTATCTTTTTCTAAAGCTTTGTGCAGGCTTTTTTTTTTTAGGTTTGGAGATATTTTTCATTTCATTGAGTTATATAAAGCTTCAAGGCTATATTTTGCAACCATATAAACTTTCTATTATTTTTTTCTTTACTGATATTTCCAATGATATCAAAATGATCATTGATGTGATGCCAGCTGAAATGCTTGTATCTTAGTTTATTCTGAAAGCCAGGAAAGTTGGCAGTTGTATAGATGGATATATAGAAAAGTTAGACATATATAACTTCTTGTGTTTGCTTTTAATAAATATTAGGATACTAATGCTGCACATATATTAATTATTAATATTAATTTACTTTATTTCCTGTCTTTCGGTGTTTTCTCCCTGAACTTGAAAGCTTTACAGTCATTTGCCCCCATAGATGTTAAATATATCTATGTATTCTAATATAAATTTCTTAGCAACCAGATTGCTGTGCTATGATTAAAGCTAATATTTGTAAATAAACTACTATGAGAGCATCTAGATAGGTTTATAACATATGGTTTTGAAATCTTTGTCTTAATTTTTTAATGTAACATCTTCCTCATTTTTCCTTATATATTTTTTCTCATCCCAAACACTCTGCTTCCATCACCAATTTTTTTGATTCTTATCCAAAGAGTTGAAATCAAATAGTTTGTTTATTTCTCTAGTAAATATAATAAAGTGGAGACATAATCCAGATAATTTTAAAACTGAAATAAATACAATGGCTATTATATGGTTGCAAAATATAAGAGAAGTGTAATATATCAGTGTAACTCTGACATCTGTGAATGTTCCTGTCTTATTACAATTCCCCAAATACCAGCGTTGGACATCTGTTTGTTGTTTGTTTATTTCAACAGCAATTGCCTTGAATTTGTACTATTTCTTGCTGATTGAACATTTTATGTGTTTGTGTATGCATATTAATATAGACAATTATAAAATAAGGGATTTTTTTCCTTCATAATTTGTACATTAGGTGGAGACAGTGCTCTATATTCAACTGCCTTAGACCAGAGTTTTAAAAAATATAATATTTTAGGCACACTTTTTAAATAATATTATATATTCTATTTGGATTTCACAATTTATAGGGCCTTCAAAGAAAAAAACAGTTCAATTATTAGGATGCTCATGTCATCAGGAATGGCACCAGAAAACCTTAAGACAGCCAAGGTTACTGATACAGAAGAAAATGTGAAGTGCAACATTGATCAGGTAGAAAGCAAAGAATTGCCACTGGAAAAGATGGAGAATATTGAAACAATGTCAAAAAGGCAAAGAAAGAAGCTAATGAAGCAGAAACAGTGGGAAGAACAAAGAGTCTTGCGCAAGTATGGTTCGTTTCTTGCTACAAGGATGGATTTTGTGAGTAGGCAGTTCTGGGCTGATTCAAGTTTTATTGCTCCCCTGTTTCTTTCATGAAAAAGTTCAGAACTAAGCCTGAGGATTATATGAACTCACCCTGTCCTCCGTTTCATTTACACTGGAGAGGAGTGATCAAATGTACAGTCTCTTTCAGTCTCCATGAAAGATTTGTAAGAAACTACTATAACCTATCTGATTTCATACTGTATAAATGGTCTGTTATTGGACAAATTAAATAATAGGTTATATATAAATAGATACAAAACTTTTTTTCTTGTTCCGGCCTTTTCTTTCCACATTTCAAACATGCTTTTTGTCTTCATGACTTTGGCAATGCTACTGAGTAACATAATGCCATCCAGATTCATTGTTTTGAGATACAGTAGTCAGCCATATAAATTGTTCAGATAAATAAATAAATAATTCAATGAAGTTCTTGAGTTTTAAATTATCTTCTTTCAGCCTCATCTCTGCTATATAGGACTTTCGTGTGAAACTTTCCTTTTAGCTCAGTCATGACATTTTAAGATATAAATGAACATTTAACTCTTTATTCACTAGCTGAGTTTATCCTTAAAGCATGTATTCTGCCTGAGAATTGTATGCCAGCATCTCAACATTTCAAGGTCATATTGGTTAAATAAATAAATAAATAAATAAGCAAGCAAGCAAGCCTTAGCAGGCAATCAACAAGGTTAATTATCAACAACAATATGGAGGGACATAATACATCACGTAATAACCTATGGTATATTACTGAATAATGCAGTGATGTTCTGTCTCCAACATTTCAGGCAAAAACGTAAAGAAAAGCGCTTGAAGAGAAAAATGGAGCGCCAATCCCAGCTGGAATCAAATGGTGAAGGAAGTGTCAGAAAACGTATGCGTAGGGATATTGTTCCTAGTGCACTTCGGCTTATAATAGACTGCAGTTTTGACAATTTAATGGAGTTAAAGGTAAATAGAAGTCATATTTTAGAAGCAATGTATTCTCAGTGTCTTGATTGATTGATTGATTGATTGATTGATTGTCATCAAGTTGTTGTCAGCTCTTAGCAACCACATAGATTTTGTAATTATTCTCAGAGATTCACAAGATACAGGTAGTCCTCAGTTAACGACCACTCGTTCAGTGACTGTTGGAAGTTACAACAGCATTGAACAAGCGGTACTTGAAGTTCCAGCAGTCCCAGCACCTCAGCGGTCACATGATCACAGTCCAGGTGTTTGGCAACCGGCTCACATAACAGTTGCGGCGTCCTGCAGTCATGGGATCACCATTTGCAACCTTCCCTGCTGGCTTCCCACAAGGTAAATCATTGGGGAAGCCGGCAGAAAAGGTTGCAAGTCTCTCCTGCCACTTTTCAAGCCGCAGCACCCCCTCCTAGCTGCGTTTGTGCCTTGCAGCAGCATCCTCTTCCCAACCCACATGGACTCGTGTCTCACAGCAGCAACCTCTCCACAGCCCCCACATATTCATGCCTCGCAGCACCTCTCTCCCCAGCCCGTATCCACTTGCAGCAACACTTCCTACCCAGCCCACGTGAACTCCTGCTTTGCGGCAGCACCCTCCCCCCCCCCAGTTTGCATGCACTCGCTGCAACACCCTGCTGCCCCACCTCACTCTAGTACTCACCCACCTGCCTGCTTGCAAGCTTCCGGGGACTTGTTACTTCTCGCAGGTTGTAGTCACATGAGGTTCTTGCTTAACAACTTGCAATCCTCACTTAACAACTTGCATTCCTCCCTTAACAACAGCAACTAGGACTGCTAAGTGCAGTCGCTAAGTGATGCAGTCATGTGACATTGCGCTTTATGACCACATTGCTTGGCGACAGAAATTCCAGTCCCAATTACCATCATTAAGCGACAACTACCTGCACATATTAAAATTAATATCTGAACTGAATTCATACAAAAGATTTTCAGAAAGTATCTTTTCAGCCCTGAGAAATTAAAATAGAATTAACGAAGACCTATAGGGCAGAAGTAAGGTTTAACCTAGTACAGAATATATCTTAAATTTTTTTGTGTGTGTGCACCTTCAAGTGAGTGTTTACTCCTAGCAAATGCCTGGACTAGTCCCTGCAGTTTTCTTGGCAAGATTTTTGGAAGTGGTTTGCCATTGCCTTCTTCTCAGGGCTGAGAGAGAGTGACTGACCCAAAGTCACCCAGCTGGCTTTGTACCTAAGGTGGGACTAGAACTCATGGTCTCTCAGTTTCTAGCCTGATTCCTATACCAAACTGGCTCTCATATGTTAGAGAAGTACTTGATAAACATTACCAGTACATCCCAATAAGCTTGGGGAAATTTATGTCACACTTTTGTAAATTGCTTGTATAGTTTAATTCTAGGAACATTAATTTTCATTTTTCATTGCATAATTTTATTACATTTTATTAATAAATGGAATTCAAAATTACAGCAAAAAATTAGTCCAGTCCTAGAAAGAATTATCCATCACTATTATAATTTTGAAGCCATACCCAACGCTTGCTCAGGTGCACAGTAATGCTGCCCAGATATTATCTTTAATCAGATTGCTGACATTATCTTCTTCATTTTTAGAATGATAGGCTAGTAATGGATAAGTGAGAGTTCAGAAAACCCTACATATTTGTAGTGAGCATATACTTTCTTCATAATGGTTTAACTTCTCTCAAAGATAAATGTTTTAGTCAGAAGTAATTTTTGTTGGTTAAAAGCTTCCTTTCTTTCTCTTTAGCGTCTCTCTGAATCTCTTGGTTAAAGCATTTTGTGGTGCTTTCTCTGAAGGACAGTATAAAAACAAATTGTATTATATACAGGATGTCAAGAAACTTCACAAGCAAATTCAGAGGTGTTATGCAGAAAATCGTAAAGCGCTTCATCCTGTTCAGGTATGTCAGTTCAAGTAACTTCCAAGTATCATTCTCTGACTATTTAATTAGTGCTTTACAATACATATAAAAGAAAACTTCTTAACATAATTTTTACTATACTTGCATTTTTAGCGTACATAAAGAAAAGTTATTTTAAAGATATCTAGATACTGGTCTAGAAATCTGAGAATACAAATGTCCCTTTGTGTCTTAATATAGATAATTATCATACCAATAACAAGTTTACTACTGTTGATAATTTAAAGTATTGATTACCATGTTTTTTCTGCTACAAAATATCTTGGGTAGCAATACATACATACATACATAGAACAGGAATAAGAAGTAGTAAGGAAACTAAGCTAATGGCATGAGATAAGAAAAAAAAATTAAAGTGTGGCTAAATCTAGTTTACAGCAATCCCATTCACTATACCTCTCCATATCTTTCTAGTCCTTGCAAACCATCCTTGCTTCCACCACATCCATACACTAACTCATACGTTGCCTTTTGTTCTTTAAACATCTTTCTGAGGTCCTTGTCAGCTGTGTCCAGCCACAACTTTCTTTATTTTCTTCTTTCTCTCAGGCCATTCATTCTTCCTTCATATGTTTGTTTTCAGATTCAGTCTTCAGTCATTCCCTCTGCGTAATAAAACATCTTCATGTATACGCTAAACTAGGCTAACACCATGTTTAATCACTACATGAACTTTAGTATAAAATACAGTAAATGCATAGCAAGACACAGACCATATCTAGGCATGTGCTATGAGGTAACACCTGGTACAGACACACTGCAGATTTCATGGGAAAGGTAGTTCGCTGATAAGCTTGCTTGTCATATATTTTACCTGACAGTTTGTTTTGCACATAAGTTTAATGAATGCTTAGCATGATGGTTATAAAAGCTTTATAAACTAGTCCTTGGCACAGATGTGCCATGGCAGAACACAGCATACATACCTGTTGCCCATCACAGGGAGCATTGCATGTATACTCCTGTAAGTATCTATTTTAATAAAGCCTGTACTGATCACCCTGGCTTTCAGCTCCATTTCCTTGGGAATCCCATACAGGTATAGCATATTCGCTTTACCCAGAGGTGCTCTTTTGGGAGTTTTGGGGGAAAACACTTCAACATACTTCTTTTATACTGATCACTTGCTTTTGTATTCAGTCCACATAGTATCCATTCATACCTGACCTCACTTCCTCCAACATTCATTCCTTGCAACAGACCACATGTTATCCACTATTTTTCTACTAGAATTTGCACATCTTGAAATTTCTCCATCCATTTTCCCATTTAGTAAATTGTGACTAGTAATTCTATGCATGTTCCCAAATTCATCTATTTGCTTGACTTTTTTTTTCACTATTATATCAATTTTTCATTTCTATTTTCTCTGACAAAACTGCCTTGGTTTTTGATATGTTGATATGGTTCTATACTTTTTATTTCATCTATAGTTTATCAAACATTTGCCACAAATTATTTGGATCCTTAGGCTACACCACAGAATCACCTAAATAAAAAATACCAAAAAAACCCCACATCCGTTTGAACTTCCAACTCTGAGGAAGTTTTGTGGTGAAACTTAAAAGGTGGAAAATAATAAATGTTGAAAAAGAATATTTGGTTATAGAATTTTAAAAATTATCGTGAATATTGTATCCTTTTTCCTTTCACAGTTTTACTTGACCAGTCATGGAGGCCAGCTGAAAGACAACATGAATGAAACAGACAAGGGATGGATAAATTGGAAGGTGCTAGCAATTTAAGTATATGATTTAATTAACTATTACTATCAAAAGTTTTTTTTCTTGAATCAATTATTTCTTAGAAATACATGAATCAGATATTGTTTCTTAATATTGTCAATTGTCAGATTGCTGGCCTGTTAGACTATGAACTTTGACTTCAGTGAAATGAAGAAACCATTTTATGATGACTGAGTGACTTACGAATGAAGTATTAAGTTCTTTCTTCATTTTAACTATAATCTTTACAATATTACTTCTATATATAGTATATATACCTGAATGTTTCCAGATATTAATGATAATGTGACACTGTTTCATTGCTATGTCAACCTTTACTGATAGTTATATACAGCACAGTTTTATTCTTAGTTATAAAGCAGTGCAGGCATAGAATACATACTCAGGGTAGTTGAAGGTCTTTAGTTTTAAAATAACTTGATTTATATTTGGATTTGTGTTTATATCTTGAAGGATATTCATATTAAACCAGCTCATTATAGTGAACTGATGAAGAAAGAAGATCTTGTTTACCTTACCTCAGATTCTCCAGATGTCTTGAGTGAATTAGATGAATCAAAAGCCTATGTTATTGGGGGCTTGGTTGATCACAATCATCACAAGGTAGATCACTAATTATTATAATTCTGTGCATGCATACTTGAAAAGATCTCATTGAACTAAGAAAATGGAAAATTAATGGAGTCAAAATATTAGATGTGATTTTGATGAATATAGCGTGATGTTCGGTAGTGGAGAATCTGTGGCCGTCCACATTTTGTTGAACTACAGTTTGCAACATCCCTCACTACTGGTCGTGGTGGGAGTCGCTGGGAGTTACAGTATGTTTCTATATTTATACTCTGCACCATAGTTAGGGTACAACAAAGTCAAATGCAAAAGTCAAAAACAAAAGCAAAACCTCAACATAAACAATTAACTTAATATTAACAGCTGTTAATAAATCTCATAAAGGTTCTCGAAGCTAATCTAAGGGCTGAACACTCATTGGAATTAAACTGTTTAACTTGCTCACAAAACACCAGCAGAGTCAGGGCCATCTGTACTTCTGGGGAGGAGTAAAATGGGGGTTACCTTTGAGGAGACCTGTTACCTGGCATATGTCCCATGCACCTAATAAGAAGGAAGGATCTGCAGTAGTCCCTCTCTTGATTACTGGGCAAAATGGGTGGGCTCAGTTCTGTTATATGCCTGATAGAACTTGGAGCTGCATTC